TTGTCAAAGGTAAGGAAGTGGGAATCAGATGCTGCACTAGTAACTAGTATAGTGCCTGATTGTGCTGATAAAAGGCCTTGCCTAGCGCAAGATGCAAGATCCAAACAGTTGCAAAAGTTTGAGTCCTTCCATTCTGAGAGATGGAAGGACATATATAAATTTGAACTGGCGCTGAACTGGCGTTGAGCTTAGGCCCAGCCGCGTTCGACCGCAAGGTGCAAAGTCCGGGTGTACATGTGACTTTCTGCAGTGGGCAGTTGGTAAATGTAATTGCCGGTCCAATGAGAAAATCTGATTCCTCACACCTACATTGCCTGATTCAATGAAGAAGCGAGCACTTGCAGTTGTAGGGTCACTGGCCAAGAATTTTCAGTGGAAAGGTTGGAGCATTCTCTCAATGTGGAATACTATGGAGAGGTTACACCAACAATTTTGGACACTACAGCGCCTTCAGAGACTCTGTTTTGTACCGCACTGCCGCATGGCAATTCAGAGCCACAAGATGACCACACATGCAAGTGACTTCCACGGACGTTGGTTTGATTTTGTTCAACATCTTGGCAACCCGTGAGCACAAGAATCCAAGAATCCCGTTGACAGTTCACGATGTTCGTTCATGGCTGCCAGAGAGCCCTGTCGATTTGTTTGAGTTTGTTGTTGGTAGTCGGAGAGCCCTACATGCAGCAAGGAGAGCTCTTCAGTCTAGCAACATAATACGATATGACAAAAAATAAGCCTGTTATTCTAGGATGCTGATGAGGGTCACATTATGTCTTTTGTTTGCTGCCGTTTTCAGGAGCAACGAGCAACACTGGCAGCGCTCCAAACACGCCACTTGACATCAATAAATTGGCCACGGCGGAGTGCGCTTAACTACCCCTATGTCAAAATCTTGGTTTCATTAGGTTTGGTAAGGTCTGGGTGGTGCGCGGGGTGGTGCGCGGGGCGGTGCGCGGGTTGTTCTCGGCAATTTTGTGGTGCGCGGGGTGGTGCGCGGGATGGTGCGGGAGGGGGGAAGATCCGCGGGGAACCGCGGGGATCTGCGAGGAACCGCGGGGAGTTTCAAAACACCCTTTTGCTTAGCCTACATACGAGCAAAAACAAGAGGTAGAATCCGGTTCCCGCGGATCCCTGCGGTTCCCCGCGGATCCCCGCGGTTCCCCGCGGATCCCCGCGGATCCCCGCGGATCCCCGCGGATCCCCGCGGATCCCCGCGGATCTTCGCGGATCCCCGCGGATCCCCGCGGTTCCCCGCGGATCCCCGCGGTTCCCCGCGGATCCCTGCGCTTCTCCGCGGACAGCCAGCCTATTTTGTAATCAATAGGCTTTTAAGCAGCGGTCAACTGTAACATTGGCCATTGGTGTCCCCGCAAATCCGCGGGGATCCGCGGGGATCCGCGGGGATCCGCGGGGAACCGCGGGGATCCGCGGGGAACCGGATCCTACTTCTACCGCTTAACCCCCGATGTTTTGTCTGCGCACCGCCTCGCACCGCTCCGCGCACCACTCTGCGCACCGCAAAACTTAGGACCAACCCCGGGCGTTTTGTTTGCGCACCGCCTCACGCACCACCCCGCGCACCACCTCCACACACCCCCAGGGCTCCAAAAGCGCAAAACTAGTTAAGCGCACCAAGCTTGCGTCAATCAATAAACGTAATAAAACCATAATGACAATACACATCGTATTTCTTTTTTTGCACATGAACACACTGCGCTCTCTCTCTCTCTCTCTTTGGTAGGCCTTCGATGGATGTGTTTGCTTATTGATTCAGAATGTATATGTGTTGCGTTGTTGTTGTTGCTCTGAATCAACGCTTGGCTAATTGCATTGGCAAGTGCAGAAGCAGAGGCTCTGAAGAAGTATGGATTTTGATAATGATTTCAGGTAGTACGCAGGTGATTTCGTTTTGGTTGTCGTGGCTCTTTTGCCTTAGTATGAATAGTACTTGTAGATATTCTCTAGGTGATCATGAAGTGTCAAAAAGCAGAGTAAAAGAGGGCCCACAAAATGAATCACTTCCTGAAGCAGACGCGCGTTGTTCTTTCCTTACTGGGATTGAGTTCAAAACTCAGGCCAAGCCGTGCTCGTCCACAAGGTGTGGAGCTGGGGGCAGCCACCAGGTATATATCAAAAAAATGTGTCTTCAATCGACAGGGCCAAGTTGATGGTCCCTCCCTTTCGTTCAATAAACCCATAGGTGTTTGGTTGAAATTAGTTGATGCATGGCACAGGTGCTGGGAAGACCAGACCTTGTTCGCCAGTAGCAGTTACATGCCAGTTGCATTCCATGGATATAACCGTGCAGATAAGGGCTAAAGGAGTTGTAAGACGTTGATCGGAGTTAAATCATTTTGTGTAGCTCGAGGGACACTGACTGCCTGACAATCACTGGGTGCGGCTAGGAACAGTTGCCCTCAAATAATCATGAATCGAAATGTACAGCAATTATTCTACTATATATATATAACGACGGCCCGAAACTAAGAATGACTTTTGTGCCATTCCGTTTCAAAAAAAAAACCTCCTAAAAATCATTTTTGATAGATTTTGGCTATAAAACACCGC